CTTACATACAAATTCGATTTAAGGACAGACCTTGGGAACAGAACTTGTTCTTAAACTGGGAGCTATCTGCAGTTTTATCTAAGTGAGACTGCATTCGTATGCACTTTTATTTGAACATTAATCAGACTGAACATAGTGAAGCCCCAAATAAAAAGACACACATTGACCTTGTGTGACTGACGCACACATTTACACTCCTACTCCATAATGGTAATCTAAATTAACAGGTTCAGTCACAAATGTTCTTTTTGCATGCAGGATAAGTCTAACATTGATTACTTGCAAATATGAAACCAGCATATCAAAGCAATACATTTTCATACAATGTCAGCCATAATACTAGCTTTGAGTAAGCTGTGGTGAGGTAGACAAATAATAATAGGCTTCTGTCCCTTTAATGGTTATTTAGTTAGCATATATTGATTTGAATGGTGGTTTTCAGAATAACAATCTTTGTGCAAGAAAATTGTAATGTTCTGAATTTTTCATTTCATTTTCTCTAGTTATAAAGGGGAACCTTGTCTTACCCTTTGCCTCCAACTTAAGCAAGCAGCATCTCAGACTGACTATCCAAGGACCACAGGTGTATTATAGAGCAGAATGCTTACTTTTATTAAACTAATTGGTCTGACCCCAAAAGAGAGTTAATGAACTCAACTAAAAGCTTTTGGTTAATAAGTCTTAGAAAGGATCAACCTTTAGGGACGTGGCCTTCCAAGTGTTTCTGAACTTCAACTCCCAAAATCTCTCACTGTTGGCCATGCTGCCAGGGGCAACAGGAAGCTGTGATTCAACATTTGAAGATCCACAGTTCTTCACCTTGCTTACCTCATATTTTTCAATTGTGTGCATTCCATCTTTGTCAGTTATAAACATTTTGTTATTTCTTTCTATGTAGTGTTCAGGCTGATAATTTTCCTATGATGAATTCTCTATTTAAAACTTGCTGAATTTATCTGTGAAGGACAAATATTCAGAAGTCAAATTATATGTTTTAAATAGAGGAAAAATAAGTTTGTTAGAGAAATGCTGAGAGGCAGACTTCACATATACCTTATACAAACAAATCCTAAACAAAATAAATGCCATCAATTTTAATAAAATTGACTTTTGCATAATTGCTTACCCAGGGGTAAAATTTCATATATTGCAGCGTTTTATATTTTCTGATGAGCTTGTCTGATCATTATTTCTGAGGCATTCTTTAACAATAACTATCTCACATTTTATATAAAATATCTACAGTATTAGGCTTTGAGTTCTTCTCCCTATCACACAACCTGCATTTTTTTTCTGCTGCTTTCTCTGCTGCAAGGCAAGGTTGCTCATGACCCAAAGGTTTCGTGCAGTTCCTTACTCATTCTTACTTTGTAGCCCAGAGTACTTCTGTATAGGTAGGGCCCAAATTATTTACTTTTTATTTGGGGCCAAGCGGGGGAGAGAGAATGTAAAGAAGCAAAACAAGTGAGAAGCCTTGCAAAGGCTTAAGGTACTCTTTTTTCCTGTTAAGTACCAATGGTTTTCCCCCCTCTGTTTGGGGGATTAAATTCCCTGCAGAAAAGCAACAATAAAAGAATTGGAATTTTGAAGACATTATGATGTCTTCACTAGTCATGATCCCTGAAATCCTCAGAAACTCAAAATTGCAGAAAATGTCTGTTCTCCTCTATTCAATTCAGACATGCTATTGTTTCCCCTATTCTAATCCAGATTCTTTGGCCAACTATTGCTCTTTTGTTCTATCCACAAATTCTGGCTTATTCATCTTATTTCGTTCTCTCCTTCATTTCTGTTCTTGAAACACTCCCCTCTTGGCTTCTGCCTTTTATTTTCCACTGAAATTGCCTCACTCAAATAATGAACTTTCTTTTCCCTGCCAAAATCAATTATACAGTCTTCATTTTTCTCCGTTTTTGTGCTGTCTTTAATAATCATTGTCATCTACTTTAATCCATTTTCATGCCTCAGTCCTCATAACTCTCTTCAACTTCTCTTTTTCACTGTTCTTTCCAGATGCATCAGGACTATAATTTCCAGGCAGAAAAGCCAATATCCATGCTGGCCGAGGGCATTAGGCTAGAGAAAGCTGCCGCATAGCAAACCTTTTTGTTTACTTTGTCTTCTGTGTTAGAATCCCTCCGTCCGTGACCTTTGTCCTCCCCTTACACATGTAGAGAAAGGACAGTCAGCACATAGTTCTCCAGATGTTCAACTATGACTTGTATCAGTTCCAGCCAATATAGCTAATGGTGTGGAAATTTGTTAGTGCATCAATATTGAAGGGAGAATTTGTTGTCTGTTCTTCTTATAGAGCAAAGACACTGAATTATGCCTTTCTAGCCAAAACTTGCTTCATTCATCTAATTTCACATTTGCAAATGTCTTTCTGATATTTGCATTCAGATGTTGGCTCAAATTCAATATACTCAAGTCAGAACTTATCATCATCTCTCTCCCAAGTTAACCACTGAAAAAGCTTTTTTTTAACATTGTTTTTCACTTTCAGTATGTCACCAGATCATTTCACTTAGCACTTATCAACTCATATAATCTACAGTAATGCATCCTTTCTAAGAATCTCAGCTTGTACCATTGCAATGACCTCAGCCATCCAAACAGTTTCTAACCCTTCAGTTTATATTTTTCTTTCTGGCTTTATAAACTGTCTAAAATGTCCCCATGATGCCAGCGCTCTACCTACATTTATAATATTTCTCAAAGCCTACCATTTCCATAAAAGTTTCCCTGTATTCTAATTCTAGCCACATGTAACTAAAACAAGTATACATACTCCTTTTAAACCCTGCAGCCATTTTCATGACATCATCACAAAAGCTTCCAGTTTTCATTTGGATGAATTGCTCATATAGATATCTGAATCGTGACTTATTTATGCCTAACTTTCTCAGCTTGTCTTAATAATTTGGATATAAGTAATATGCCTTTTAAAATAAAGAAGACAGCTTGTACAGATTCTAAAATATCTGGGATTACATCTTTCTCTAAATATATCACAGTATGTTGAATTAAATATACCCAAATGTATAGATACAATTTTAGTAGATATAACTTGATGGTTAAAACTCACATTAAGTCTTTGGGGTAAGATTAATGTTATCAAAATGAATATTACATTAAGATTTTCAATAGATATTTTATACATATACATTAATGAGA